ATAACTTAATAGCGATTTACTAATATACTAATTACAAGGGATATACTAATATACTATACTAATAATGTATTTTTTCATTCTTTTCGGTTATCCGATTTTTTCAGTTATCCCACCAACCTGAGTCCCCAATTGAGTCGGATAATCGATGCTCTACTGTACTCGAAAATCTTTTGCGTGTTGTCCCACAAATCTTGATATGACATTTGGAACTTTCCCTTATCGTCTCTTGTGGAAAATAAGTGGTTAACATGCTCTGTTTTCCACCACCTATCAACAATAACTTAATCAACGGACTTTTAAGAAAATAAAACTCATCAAGTTCGTCTATTTTGCTGGAAGGCAGAAACGTACTATCAGAAAACGCGCACAGTGTACCCATCTTGTTCTGACGAGGATTTCCGACGTACTGGTCAGAACAAGATTTCGTCAGAATTCACACTCACAGTAACTGTAGCCTAATTCTGATAATGTTTCGGTATTTTAGTACTTTTCGACTTATTCCTGGTCACTTGAATACAGTAGAGCGTCGTTTATCCGAATCAATTGTGGGATGAGGCCGTTCAGATAACTTATTTTTCGGATAACCGATTATGTACGAAAAAATATATTAACCCATCCCGTGTTGAAATTTTTCTCCGTTGCGTGTCGCTTCGCGTTGAATTTTCGTCGATGTTAAGCCTAACGAAAACTTTTTAAAAATAATACTCGTGGCTATTGTATCATTAAAAATTATTTCTTTATTTTTTACAAACAAAATAAATATATTGAAAAGTATAAAAACAAAAAATATATATACTTTAGAAGTTGATCTAGTATCAAAAACGTTCAATTCAGCAGGACACAGTCCTCAGAAAAACACCACACAAAAGTTCCAGTGCTGCCAGCTAAAACACGCACACCAACAAAAAAAATATTGGAGTAGCCCAAGATATAGCCAAAGATTGCAGCGCCACAGCATTAGCGAAAATTTAAATTTGCCGACTGGAATGCTTTCGGTAAACCGACGTTTCGGATAACTGGCTTTCGGATAAACGACGCTCTACTGTATTCATTTCCGAAGTTATTTGCATACGAGTCTCCTCCGAAATTTACTCACTCTCTTATTGGCATATAATTAAATGGAATCTTTTTAAAATTAAATTTATGTAAATCATGCATTGTGAAAGTGTTATAGTGATAATTTCATAAAGTTTGTCAATATGGATATGGATGTCGGAAGAATATTAATATTAATGAATTTATTGAGAAAATATATTTTGCAGAAGCTTCTAAATTTTTATTTAGAAAATCATTGACCAATTTTTTTAATACTAAAAATAAAAAGGGAAAAAAAACAATTGTTCTCCAAAAAGGATAAAATGCATGCATTTTAAAGTAACGAAGACTTAAAATATAGATAAATAATTGTAACGCTTTTAAATAATTTTTTATTTAAAACATAAATATTAATCGTGTACTTTTAGATCGTATTAAACATAATTTTTAAACATTATTTATTAGGGAGGTGGCCTTGCAATTTGGGAAAAGGCCCAACAGTTGCTTTTTCTAAATTTAAATACATTCGGAAAGGTCTTCATTTATATTTAGAAGTCGAGTTACATCATGAATTTTATATATGTTTTGTATATACTCGACCCACTTTTAGTCTGAATCATGGTTACTAGATAAACTGGTTTGGGAGCAGAGCAGAATTTTCTGTCTAGAATCTGTCTAACTCACTACATTGTGTATTTATGTCGTTTATTGCATAAATACTTTCGACACTTGGTGGCAGTACCATCTCCATAGAAACTTAGTTTGATGGAGCAATCCAACAACCAACGAGATAGAATAACATAGAGTGCCAGAAGCACCACTTTTTGAAGCTGATTGAAGAGAAGGACGCCATGACAGTTTCAGTGGGTTTATAGCGAAGCGCACAGTAAGAAATAATCATGCCACATTTTTGTGCCGCTATTAATTGTACCAACAGTTACAAGAAAGTTTCGGGAATTTCATTTCACAAGTTATAATTATTAATTTTGCTCACACTATAGACTACTTTTCTATGTCTAATAAAATGTTTAAGGATTAATTTAATAAAAGTAAACGAAAAGTGTCGAACATACTTCGAAACGCTGACTAATTTATAAAAAATAAATAATTAAAAATGTTTTGGATAGAAGTCTTATACATATCAAATTACGAATTTTATAGTGGTTAATATCTGTGATAAGTAAATCACATTTCATTCTTGCAATAGTGAAATTTAAAATAAAAGTTTTTCTTTGTCAGGTTTCCACTCACTGGCGAATCTCTTCTTAAGAAATGGCTTATACTAATGCGACGCCATCGTTGGAAGCCGAACAATAATAATTGAATTTGTTCTTCTCATTTTGAAGAAGTTATAATAATGGTAGAAAATACTTACAACCAAATTCTGTTCCTACAATTATTTCATTTCCTTCACATCTTCAAAAAATCCCTGCAATAAAACGTTCAGAAAGAAAACCAACATCTAAAGACCCTATTTCAGAAGCCTGTAAAGTAAAAATTGCAAAGATAGAATATGAAGTATCAGTCTCTCGTGATCACACATATTGTTTGCCATCTCCAAAGAAGGAGCGTGAAATATTAATTTTAACAAAACAGAAATGTGAACGGCTACAAAAGAAACTTAATATATAGCAGAAAGTCTAATAAAAGAAATTCAAATAAGATTGTCAATTTAAAAAACAATTTTCAAAGGCTAAGAGAAATGCTTTCTAAATCCGATTCTATAATGATAGAAAATAACTTTAATGAACTGCTTCTTGATCTATTAAAACATCAGCGCTTTTTGGTAATGAAGGCAATGAATATCCAGAAAAAGTTAAAATGTTTGCTTTAACTCTTCATTTTTATTCTACAGTAGTAAGGCATATGAATATCTAAGACAGTTTATTAAACTACCTGCTCCTAGTTCTTTACAGAAATGATCTTATATTGATGGTAGTTCTTGGCTTTACCGAACATTCTTTTCTTTTATAAAAATCAGAGATGAAACTAAAATTTCAACCCATCCATTATTATGTTGCTTAATTATTGATGAAAGGGCAATTAAAAAACAAGTTGATTGGGATGGGAAAGAAGTAATAGGATATACAGGGTGTATCAGAATGACGTTTTAAAAATTTGGGGGATTGTAGAGGATGAAATTTTGAACGTTTTGATATAAGGAACTTATAGCCGGAAACTTGAACTAAAGTGTGTACAGCGGTAGAAAGTGCTTGACCGCTCTTTATTTTGGTAGCTACCCTTCTGTCCATTGATGTCATATTATTGCTGCGGATGGAAGACTCTAAACACACAACTACAGTGGTCTAACTGAGCCTGTGTACAGGACGTGTACTTAGTGCTTGCCGTCCTTCGGGTCACCCCTTGCATCTACTAGCGCTGTGCTGTAAACACACAACTAGTCAACGTGAGTCCCTTGTGTACGCAACACCTGTAGGAACAGTTCATGAGCTTACGGAGCGCATCTTTACAGCATTTAATACCATCAAAGGGGAGCTTGGCATCTTACAGAGGGTCGGACAAAATATGGTTCGTAGTTGCACATTATGTAACGAAGTTGGTGATCATCACATTGAACATTTACTCTAAAGTAGTGCAGCCACTGATTCGATGTACTGTACGTACTGTACATATGTTTTACAAAAGGCATATGCACATTTTTGGTGGCATGGCAGTCTAAGACGGAGCGTAGTTTCTTTGGCTTCAAACAGGGGCGTTAGTTTCTACGTTAATTTTTATCTGATTCAGAGTCTAGCAGTTATATGTCGTTGCAGCAATCCAAGCGCAAAAGCGAACATGTCACGTGATTAAAAATAATTATGGCGCGTTTTTACGCTAGTGGCGTCTCGGCCCAATACTATCGCGCAGGGAAATCACAGGGTTCCCTAAAAGCATCTACGTAAATATGGAATTTCCAAAGAACCGACTAAACTTTTGAACGAAGTATGTGTATAAATAATAACGGAACTCTGTCTTGTTCATGACTGTGGCTTTGACTTACGGAATAAAGTTGGCAGCCTCTCCACAGGAACCAATAACTAACATCAAAGGAAACAATTCGGCTCTCCTGAAAGGAATCGACCTAACAGGAACAAATCAGCTTCAAACGTATAACACTTTTGAAACTAAAAACATACGTTTTTTTTAATCTATCTCTCGTAACTTTAAAATTATGAAATATCGATTATCGGCAATTAATTGATTATTGACTGCCCTATATTTGTTTAAAACCATAATCGATGAATCAATTATAATTTGAATAGTTTGAAAAAGCTATAAATTCAAGAATTTAGTTTTTTCAAACTATTAAAATATTATCTCTTTTTAATGAAGTAAAATATCAATTTATTATAGAAGTAATTAGATATTTTAAATATTACTGTTTAATTCCAGTTCAAAATCAAGCAAAAAGTTGCATAACTTTTCCTGAAACATTTAAAACTGCATATTTGACGCCATGTGTTATGATATTTTATTGTATTAAAAACTTTTATATTTTTAATTATTATAAATGGCAAAAATCTTAATTTTGAGAGTAGGGGTGGGTTTTATAAAAAACTGTAAATGCTAATAATGAGTAAAATCTTCATTAAGTCCGACCCTATTCGAAATATAACACACACCACACTTTTATATCTCCACCCCGAAATTTAAAGCATCAATCTCCTAATATAGAAATCTCCTTGGAAAATTTCAGAAATTTTCGATATAGAACACGGTAGTTATTAAGCTTCATGGAAGGTGAACAAAATCATGCCACACACACACACACACACACACACACATTAACACACTAAGAAATCCATACATACCAAAAAAAACCCGAATTTTTTTTAATAATATAAAGATATTTTTATTCTTTTCTTCGTCTTAAAATAAACTTTTCCATTCTTTCAACATTAAACCACCGTTTACATTACAGTATTATCAATTGATAATTGTTATCTCAAATACTGGTTATTATATTTTAAATTGAAGAAAATGGATTTCATTCTTTATTTTGTTGCATATCCAAAAACATGATAGCTTACAATAAATGGAAATTTATCAATATATTTATAATATTGTGATACTTCTTCGAATCCAGCTCGTTCCACTTCTTTTCCAACGTCTCTAGTCAGGTGACAATTTCCTGTAAGTATCTTCCAAACTGGCTCGACAATTTTTGAAGCGGTTACAGTAAAATTTGTGTTTGGAGGAATTTGATGGTCCAAATAATAATATCGGCTTCCCTAAATAAAAAAATAATTTTTTATTTCATAGAGTTTTCGGAAAATTATTTATAAGATATAATAAATAGATTATCACTTACCTTTATTAAAACTCGCTTCACTTCTTGTAAGACTTTCTGCACATCGTTAACACTACAAAGTACGTGAGTGGATACGACTACATCCACACTATCGTCTTCTATTTCCTTCATGTCTTCTGCTCCGGAACAAATAAACAGATCCAATTTTACATTTGGAAATTTGCTTTGATTCTCTTGAAAATATTTCTGAAAATTGTTATTAGGTTCTACACAAATTAAGGACGTATTCTCCGGATAATACTTAAAATTTGAGCCACCTCCGGCACCAATTTCCAAAATTTTGACTTTTTCCTCTTTTAATCTCTCTGGATCTTTTGATTTTATCATCTTCAAATCGGCAAATAATTTATCTACATCTGAAACAATGTACTTTCCAAATCTTGGTTTAAGTACTCTCTCTAAAAGGAAAACACCCCATTTGTCTTGAATGTTTTTAGATATCTTCAAAACAATTAGAAATAATACGAGTGTCGTTATCAATAACAATGCAACATTTCGAATCATGAAAAATATGAACGAAAGCATTTTAAGGAAAGAGAACGTCGCAACAGTTGCCTCTCTCTCCACTTTATAGGTTATAATTAGCTTCAAAGATTACAATTTTATTTTGTCTAGAATAAATGTAAACAGGAAGTTTATTAATATTCGATTATAAAGAACTCATTTTTAAAAATTTTAAATATATTCTTAAAATATGATTGCATTTAAGTTTGATTATGGAATAAGAGTTTAAACTAACTTAAATGTAATCATGTATATTTTTCGATTAAAATTAACTAAACTAAAATATTTACGACACACCTTGACAAGTATCCTCGCAGACAAGTAATGTCTTCGTCATAATATACCACACACACCGAATTGATAAATAGGATTGAAGAGCCATCTGTTGTCAAATATGAACGTTAATCTTAGCTATATCATGATTTACAAAAGTTAATCGATAAAACAGGATTTCGTAACCTTTTGCTGTGACTCACTTGTAAACACACTTTGTACCTCATAAAACTTTGAGTTTCTTACTTAGATACAAATAAATGCGTATTAAATTCGTTTTATTCTACACACTGCAAACGAACTAATCTGAGAGGAGACCGTTACAATTAGGTAGTTGTAACAGATAAAATAATCTCATGCTTAAATACTGTTTAATCGTGACTACGGTAAGGTAGGCTTACTCAACACAGAATCCAATTCAAGATCTGGTTTCACTTTCTTTCCTCATCTAATTACACGTGATCATCTTCCTCATCCATCACTACTGAATGATGTCACATCCTAATAATCCTTCGCGTGTATTTTGAATACATATGCATGTGTGCAACTCCAGAAAAATGATCGAATATACGCAGGCGCAAATTTTACTGTACGTGCATTTCTTAACAACAGATGTCACGTTTGTCTTCCTTTATCGATCATTTAATATTTAATAACAATTTTTTTACGTTAAAAATAGTAACGATTCAAAATTCATTTCTTTTACTACTTTTATCTTTACATCTAAATATGCCAACTGCACACAAGTCACGAAATATTGTATTAGAATATATTAATAATAAAACTATATACAAGGGTATAAACATTTAGGGTACGTTCGTAAAGTCGAATCGTTCGAAAAGTAGTAATCTCGCTCAGTGTGCATGCTCTGCGGTGATGACGTTTCGAACGAAACACTAATACCCCGTTCGCACCGAGCATTTCGATCTAGATTCTAGATTGTGACTAAGGTCGGAGAATGTTCCGTGGTGCGAACGCTCTCGACCGTTTCAATCTCGACTGAAACGAGGTTCAATCGCGATCGACTGGAGAGTTCTAGATCCAGTCATAAGAGAGATCCCACAATCCCACGCGCGCGAGAAAATACAGGATGGCTGCGGAACACGTGTCGGGCTATCGACAGGGAAATAAAAAAGACATCTGGAGAGGAGACGACGACATCTGTCTATTATTATATGTATGGCAAGAAAAAGTATTTATTTCTAACCAAAACTTCCATTTTGTTTGTTGGTGTTTGTGACTTACCGCGTAGTTACGTCAGTTTTATGATCGCGTGTACAATTTTGCCACGTCTACCGAATTTTCGGTAGATCTACCGATTTTGGGACCGATCTACCGATTGAAGCACAAAATCTACTGAAAAGTTTACGATAATTCAAGAAAGAAATTTTAATTTTCAATGTATCTAAAAATTCTCAATAAAACATTTCTTTGTACCTTCATTTCTTATATATTGTAAGAGACTTTATTGCAAAGATTCTGTCTCGTTTTGTTGAGAATATCTTGTGTCTGCCCCATTCTTCAGCTAATGTAGAAAGAATATTTTCGTAAATAAATCTGTTAAACACGAAACAANGCCAAGACATAGCCAAATATTTTAGTGCCATATCACTAGCGGACATTTGAAATTTGCCGACTAGAACGGTCGGTTAACCGATGTGACGGTTAATCCATGCTCTACTGTATTTCAGAATGAGAGATATCTCTGCCGAGAAATATCACTGTTGTGATAGTTTTTGTCTTTCATGTCTTTTAAACACTTATTCTCGAACACAAGACTAATCAATTTATTAATATCCATGTTGAAAAAACCAAAACACTCGAAATTCAACGTGAGAACGCACGAAAAAATCAAACTCGTTTGAACGCTCGAATGGTTCTGACTACATCGTGCGTGTTCTGACATGCCCTTCTCTGCCAAAGTAAACACTCTCATTGGAAAACAGGTATTTGTTTGTTCGGACAAACTCGTAAGAATTCTCATCCAAAGTAACCGTAGCCTTAATCTGATAAGTTTCTAACTTCACTGTCTATCTGTCCAGTAAACTTACCTATATACCTTTTAAATGAAAACTAGAAGGGTCTTATCGTGGAATGCGGACTATAATTACTTCAATGCAATCAATATTAATATAAATTAAATTACACTTTAGTGTTATTATAAAATTGAAATTGCAATAATGATTGTTGATAGGCTAAGACAACGCAGAACGAGAGTGATCTGCCAAAAAGTTCCATGGACGTACGAGTCAGAAGAGCAGGGGCAACTGTCCTCTCAAATTCGGACAAAACGGTGGGGACAAAATACGGGCAAAACAAGAACGTTTAGACAACGAAACTAATCAGACAAAGAAAGCTAAAAGGTTAATAAATTATCAGTAATGACAAATTACAAATTGGAACTTGTTTTTACTTGTGTAAAATTTTGGGCAAATCAACCCTTTCTGTTTCCCTTGCCAAAGGGTAAGTTCGTATAGTCGAAAGAGTTAAACGAGAATGACGTCATAGTTAGTCATACTTTCCTTAGACCAGTGTTTTTCAACCTTCTTGAATACGCGACCCCTTTACAAGTTAAAAAATTCTGGTGACACCCCTAGGGCCATATTAAAACTATATCAGTGATTTTAAAGACTATGTATTTAATTTTCTTTCTGTTGAGACAAATTATTGTTGATTAAAATGAAAATTTCAGAAGAATCGACAATAACTTAATAGCGATTTACTAATATACTAATTACAAGGGATATACTAATATACTATACTAATAATGTATTTTTTCATTCTTTTCGGTTATCCGATTTTTTCAGTTATCCCACCAACCTGAGTCCCCAATTGAGTCGGATAATCGATGCTCTACTGTACTCGAAAATCTTTTGCGTGTTGTCCCACAAATCTTGATATGACATTTGGAACTTTCCCTTATCGTCTCTTGTGGAAAATAAGTGGTTAACATGCTCTGTTTTCCACCACCTATCAACAATAACTTAATCAACGGACTTTTAAGAAAATAAAACTCATCAAGTTCGTCTATTTTGCTGGAAGGCAGAAACGTACTATCAGAAAACGCGCACAGTGTACCCATCTTGTTCTGACGAGGATTTCCGACGTACTGGTCAGAACAAGATTTCGTCAGAATTCACACTCACAGTAACTGTAGCCTAATTCTGATAATGTTTCGGTATTTTAGTACTTTTCGACTTATTCCTGGTCACTTGAATACAGTAGAGCGTCGTTTATCCGAATCAATTGTGGGATGAGGCCGTTCAGATAACTTATTTTTCGGATAACCGATTATGTACGAAAAAATATATTAACCCATCCCGTGTTGAAATTTTTCTCCGTTGCGTGTCGCTTCGCGTTGAATTTTCGTCGATGTTAAGCCTAACGAAAACTTTTTAAAAATAATACTCGTGGCTATTGTATCATTAAAAATTATTTCTTTATTTTTTACAAACAAAATAAATATATTGAAAAGTATAAAAACAAAAAATATATATACTTTAGAAGTTGATCTAGTATCAAAAACGTTCAATTCAGCAGGACACAGTCCTCAGAAAAACACCACACAAAAGTTCCAGTGCTGCCAGCTAAAACACGCACACCAACAAAAAAAATATTGGAGTAGCCCAAGATATAGCCAAAGATTGCAGCGCCACAGCATTAGCGAAAATTTAAATTTTCCGACCAGAATGCTTTCGGATAACCGACTTTTGGATAATCGACGCTCTACTGTATTTCTATTGTATATAAGTTCATGTATTGAAAGTCATAGGACTTTCAGTACATGAACTTATGATGAAATGTCTTACTTTACACTAGATGGTTCTGAATGTGCAGGAAATAAAAAGTTTTAGCATGAAAAAGAAAAAGTGGTTATGCCATAAGTGAAGTTCAAACATCATGCAAAGTTTCTGATAAAGGTTTTGATATGGGTAGTATAACCATAAGCCCTTGCTGGTAGTCTCAGACTTTCATTGCACTGTCAAAACTTAGCATTAACACAGAAGTGTACCAGAGTGCATTAAGAGACTAGCCCAATTCTTGTGGAAGCACTATCCAAATGGCAACTGTATGTTTTGGTCAGGTATGTCAATGTCCCACTAAGCTCAAGATATGATTACTGTCTTTGAGCAACATAGGATACAGTGCATTCTTTGTGCAAACAATGTACAGTACCTAATTGACACAGAGATGAAACAAATGGTTTTAGTACCAGTTAAAGCAGGAAGTGTATGATGGAGAGTGGCAGGCCAATTCCAGTACAGAACTTTGCAAAATAATTCAGAACAAGCTCTGCCAATTTATGACTGAGGATTTTCAGAACTTAATGAAATGTATGAAAAGAAAAATTTGAAAGAAACAGATCATGGAATAGATTTAAATTTGTTTTCTTTTTAATTTATTTTATATGCATTGTTCATTTTGTACACCACAACTTCCAGAATAAATTCATTTTCACATTTCTAGATTTTTAGTTTACACATCTTTTATATGAGCACCATATTTTTTGAAAGAAATTTTGTTTTCATTAATAACACACTTATTTAATTCAGAAATTAAAATTTGGATTATCAGTATAGAATATAACTAGTTTTATCCTTATTTTACAAAATCTACTATGTTAATTTTGAAATATTACAATAGATATCATTCTCAAATCAGTATAAAATCAAAAATTTTATTCATATTTGAACTTAATATCAAAGTAATAAATTAATGTGAAAAATAATTTGAAGTACATATACTTTTAAGTACTGTATGTGAAAAAAGACAGAGATGAAACTATTAATGTTTTGGAAAATCAGTTAAATCAAGGAATTTACTCTCTTGGCCCTGTAAGATAAAAAGATATATTATGTCTGTATGTATGAGGTGATTAGTGCTTTCCTGTTTTGGAGTTTCTAAAAGCAAGATGGCTAGAGATATTGTTGTGAAAAATCTGAGTGCAGACAATAGAGAAAAATTTCTATAATTTAAATTATGTTATCAATTTTGATATATTTTTATTAGACAAATTAAGATAAATTATTGCTTCATTTTCCTTAAATTAAAATCTAAAAACAATTTTTTTTTTCTTTCTTTCTTAATTCTTAATAGAAAACATTGTATCTTCTGTCTTCCTTTTTGCAATATTTACATTTGAATTAGGTTTGTTGTCAGTTATTTTCATACTTTGATTTGCTATGTCAAATATTAAGTGTTTTTCCTTCATCTCTTCACTTAGTTTAAAAAAATTTTCATACTATTATCATTAACTTTCTTTAAACCCAAGTTACTTTTTTTGCAAATGCAGATGTAAACTGTAAAATAAAATATTCTAACTAGACTTTTCTTTTCTGGAATGATCGATGTAAAAACACTACTCTTACTAGAGAAATGGCAGATTTAATCCATCAAAGTTTTTTTATCATTTGTGTACACTGGGATTTGTTTTTGACTTAGAGACCTCTGTCTAGTGCTGTGTAGACTTTAATATGTAATTAAGATGTTTATTTGCTATTCCAATTGTAATCTTTGCTTTTGCTCACTAAAATTTTGCGAACATGACAGAAACCAACTCTATCAAGAGTTTGAAAATCTATTGGAATTAGCAAACAGAACTAAATAAGTGCTACAGTTGGTGTTTATTGTTTTAAATAAGTGCTTTGTTTACAATGTTGCTTTAACTAGACCCAGGGGCGGATCTACATAGGGACTAATAGGGCTTAATTAAGCCCTGGGCCCTCAAGTATCAAGGGGCCACAAAAATTGAATTATTATCATAAATTTTTAATACTTTTTCATTAACAATGAGCACTTATTGTGTAGTAAAAAATAGTTACTATAAATTATCATTATTATTATTATTATATTATTAATATTACTACTTGTTTTATTGTAAATGGGGACCCATTGAACTTCAATAAGCCTGTCAGGGCAGCTAAAAAACCTAGATCTGCCCTGACTAGACCTCTGCTACTTCTGAATCCAATTGACTAAAGTATACTCAATGAGCAATTATTTATTGTGACATCGTCACAATGTCAGGCTGCAATTTGTAATCATATTTTTAATTTATTTAATTTAAAACATGCTCTCCACCTCAAATTAGTAGTGGCTTGCCCCTGGACATCATACTTTTCCTTTAACAACAGAATTGTGCCATTCATCTATCTAACATCTTTCATGGGAAATTTTGAATTGAAATAACAAGACTTCCAGTTTGCATTGGAAGTTCATATATAGTTAATCAGGGACTTCTGCCCCTATGGTTTCCACATCTGGTCTCATTTTTCATCTATCTTACTCCATTCTTGAGATTAAGGAAAGACGGATGGACAAAAAGACAGACGGATGACAGTGGGAATTTATAGGTGTATAATTTTTTTTCAAATTGCAGTCCAATAATGTCTCAGTAATATCATATACAGACTGAGAGCAAATGTAGCTGAAGAGGCTACAGTGTATACAAACTAGAAACTATTTTGTTATGAATATTAGTGTTTTCTTTTTTGTTTTTTTTCTTTTAATGGCCAATCTACTGTTAATTAATGATAAAGAATAAAAAAACAGTAAAGAATGAGGATTATTATAAATTGGTCATTCACTTTTTAAATTATATTTATTTTAATATGTATTAGAAGTTCATTTTACATTATCTATTTTAAGTAATTTTTATTTTTTGTAATGATGATCCAGAATATATGCTTTAATTAAACTAGTTTGTGTAAATTCTAATACCAAACTTATTTGATATTTTTGACTGATGATGGTGTATTACATTGATATGTTTTAATGATTAAAGGACTTGGGTTTAAATAGAACACACGAGTTGTGATTATTTTATATTACAGATAGCTAAAATGTTAATATAATTATTAGTTGTATCTTATGGCTATAATTTTCTGCAACTGGTGCAATCTTATTTGATTTGTATTATTGTACTTTTATATTAACATTGAGATATGAGTGTAAATTTTATACCTGTATTTGTATACTCTTTAATTTGTGCATTATAGTTTTGCAGTCTCAATAGACTTCTGTTTGAATCCATTTAACTTTTTCATTTTTTATAATAGTTATTGCTTACACTAAACATCATTAGTAATTTTTTAAACAAAAATTACTATTAAATATCTAAGTAAAATAATTAATTTCACTGGTTAAATTTTATGCAAACATAAGTAACTCATTTATATGTATTTTAATAAGCTTTTACATTATAATACTGGCTTTTTCTTATGATATTTACTTTTTTTTTTATAAAAGCATGCTCTTATTAATTAACCTATTTATATTTTCAAAATTGCATGATAATATAGCTCAAATATGTAATATCTTATTTTATTGCAGCACAAATTCATTTATGATAGTCATCAGTTTATATATTCTTGGTTATTTGCCAAAATGATTAATTTCTTCTTCAAGGTATTTATATTTTATATTCTTAAAATAATTTTTTTATAATTTATAGTTAATAAAAACAATATCTGTAAATAGAATTATGTTGCAGTGTAATTATAACAAACAATTTATTGGCATTTTTGTCAAAATTGTTTTTTTTTTGTTTTTTGTATATGTGTTTTTTTGTTTTTGTCATTTTCTTCTATTCTGTAATATTATCTGCATTATCTTTTGTAGCTTTATATTGTATTTGTACATACTGTCAAACTACAACATATAATATCTTTACTGGAAGATCTTAGTCATTGTCCTTCAAANAATTTTAAACCTTTCATAAAAAACTATATTACAAATGTACGAACAAATAAAAACCCAGCGAAGCGGGTCCTTGCAGCTAGTGTATAATAAAATAAATGACGAAAAAGAATGTTATTGTTTATGTGCAACCTCCTTTCTGCCACAAAAAGTCGATTTACCGAAATCTACCAAAAATTGCCTAATGAATCTACCGATGGCAAGCAAATCGGCATGACAACACTGCGCGTGTAATAGCCAGGTTCTTCTCGAGCGGACTGCCTGTGCGAACAGCACGGCGTTCGACTAGCGACAGTTATACCCCGTTCGCACACAATCCACGACTCACTTCAATCTCGATTTACCCACAATCTGGATTGTGACTGTCGCCAGTGGAACGTCGTGCTGTTCGCACAGATAACTCGCTTGAGAAGAACCCGGCTATTACACGCTATGATAAAATTGACATAACTACGCGGTAAGTCACGAACACCAACAAACAAAATGGAAGTTTTGGTTAGAAATAAATACTTTTTCTTGCCGTATAATACACAGATGTCATCGCCTCTCCAGATGTCTTTTTTATTTTTCTGTCGATAGCCGGACACGTGTTCAGCAGCCATCTTGTATTTCCTCGCGCGCGTGGGATTGTGGGATCTCTCTTATGACTGGATCTAGTTTCGAGAACTCTCTCCAGTCGATCGCCTCGTTTCAGTCGAGATTGAAACGGTCGAGAGCGTTCGCACCACGGAACTCTCTCCGACCTTAGTCACAATCTAGATCGAAATGCTCGGTGCGAACGGGGTATAACGGGTGGCCAATCTTTGAGTCCACGTGCCATATGGTAAGCATACTTAGCTTTAGCCATTTATGTATACCGAAGTTTCAACCTCAGAAAACATTTAAACAAATATACTTTAATTAGAATAAATTTAAGAAAGCTGAAAAAAGAATGAGCGGGCAATAAACTGCCCTGCAAACCACCCCTGCATTATAAACAAAAATACAGTGGAACCTCGGTATACGACCTTAATCCGTTCCTGATATTTGGACTTATACCAAACCAACCTTTCCCATAAGAAGTATTGTAAAAATGATAAATCCGTTCTCATATAAAAAAAAAAATGGCTGGCTTTAAACACCTCGCTTTCCTGGCTAGTTACTGCTTGGTTTTTCTTGAGATTAGCACGTATCTTTTTAGCTTTCTCGCAAATAAATACTTCTGATACGTTGTCTCCGGCACATTGTTTTTCAGAAAGCAAAAGCAATTTCTCAACATGATCTAATGTCTTCGATCTATGTTTAGAAATTGATTTAACCCCTTTCGCGACGTTAGCAGATTCAATGTTTATATTTTTCAGGATTGTCGATATCGTCGTTCTCGGAATACGGTATACAACAGTTAAAATCTCGAACACGCGTGCCATCTTCATATTTCTCAACAATCTCTTTTTTCAGTTCCATTGTGATTCTAGTCATTTTTTTAGTTTTCTGTTGCTTTTCACAATTCATGATTAATAAAAATAATAAAATGTTACAAATTAAAATCAGAAGAAATTTAACAAAGTTATAAACCGTGGCACCACGAACGTCTAGTCTGGTCTAGTACAACGATAGTGCTACTTGTTCATAGATGGCGTGTATAATTGAATTAAGTCGTATACCGAGCAAAATTTGTTTCGTCCAAACAGGACGTATTCTAAAACAGACGTATACCGAGGTTCCACTGTATTATTATAAGTGAACTGGTGTTTAAAATTTATCTCAACTTGTAACTTGGCCAGTAATATGCAATGCCTAAAACTACTAGTTTACTCTTTACATTATGTTGGTTATGAATGCTTTAAGGTTGTGCTTTCATGAAACACATTCAAAAGATGCAAAAAGCTTTCCCAAAATTAGTATTTGAATTTTTTCAATATATTGGTAATATTTGCTTACTTTTAAAAATGTTTTCTCAACCAAGTTTTTAATTAATAACATCAAAAGCTAAATATCTGTAAATTCAATACTTTATTGAAAGTATGAAATAAACTTATTACAATGAGAAACATTTCTTAGAATAACTAAGAAATTTTGGTACAGTTCATACATCCAATTGCATCTTAAGGGGAAAGCCAGTACAGACTTCTTGGATCTTCAAATAACTGTACCCTGTAAGAAAAATACATTATAAATTTTTGAAGATAATTTTCAATCATCAACACAACTGTTTTAGTATAAATACTATTTTAGGATAGTATACTAAATTCATTCCCTATGAATTATTACTATTCTCTCTTATGGCAAACAATTAAATCCATGAATAGTAACATCAACAGTAAAACAAATTACTGATGTTAGATCAAAACCCTTTTTTTCTTTTTATTCAGAACAATTCATTCACTATTCAAAGGTTTAATTTTTCAAATGTTTGCTATTCTGATGTAAAACAATTTACATGCAAATTATTCTCACTTCCAGAAAATCAAAATCAAATTAACCAAAACACAGGTACAATTAAACAGATACTATCACCATGAACATTTTAAATATTGTATAACTTTACTTTCCACATAGAATATAACATAGGAAAAGTATGATAATCATGTAAATTTTGATCCCTTTTTTCCCTGGATTGACATTTTGAACTCAATAACATAAAAATGTAAAACCCTTACAATAGTGCATGTGTGTGTTGCATCTATTTCGAGTTATCTCACAACTGAATAAACCAAAAACTTCGGAGGATTATTTGTATACAGGGAGCAATGATGCTACTAAATACATTTCATATCAAGTATGGGTCAGAGTTAAAATTTAACATTACTGGCATTTACAATGTTTATAGACTTCTTTTATAGATGTTTATAGGCTCATCTCTACTCTTCAAAGAGTAGAGATGAGACTATAAAGCCTTTTTTTAATATAATTTTTTCCTATAAAATCTAACAGATAACACAAAATTCAAATTGTGAATTATACTAATTTGACTTAAGTGTTTTCTAAACTAGCTTCTTTTTGGGTGGTTATTTACCTTGAAGTAATGCAAAATGCCTTTCCAGATTTCCTTCTTACATATAGCCACAGAAGTGTACATTAAACATTTTTCTTTATCATTGTTAAAAAGTAATCAACCTCCCACTGTTTACAAAAATGCTAAATTTTCTTTGAAATATTCACTGTAAATAGAGGACTATAAAAAGTTAATAAATACACCCTACTTTTCAATACTGTTCAGAAGATTAATTAGATCTGTTTTTCTAAATAGCTTATTATATATATGGTACATGAATACTTTATTTTCAAAGGGTCAGTACAAAAAATGCTAGAGTATCAATTATAATTACAACTAGCACACAATAGCATAAGTGAGGCTATTCAATGGCATTATAAAAAATAAGAATTTTCAAAATATGCATTTTAGATTAGAAATAAACATTGCTACAAGCTAATGAAAACTGCTTTGTAATTGACTTTTTCACCATTTCTATTTTAGGTGAATAAATTGTAAGTATAACAAAGGTTTCATATCAGAAATAAAAATGTAATAATTATGACAAATCCTTAAAGAAAAAACACTATTTCTATCCTATCATTTCACTCTTGAAGTAAATTGTGTCAAAATATTCATAAAAATTACAAGAAATATTTGTCTAATATTGAAGGATGAACATTATAGATGATTTTTGACAATGATGTAGTTACTTCAATTAGGAATGAATGTGTTACCACCATTCATACTTACTAGAGAATGAATAAAGAAAACAGTCTACTATGCAAGATTTTAAATAATTATATCTCTTAAAAATTAAAATCTTAGCCAACAAGTAAAACTACATTAAAGCAAGAAACAATTTGTTACCTTTTTTCCTTCCTACTTAGACCTTTCCCTCATCTTCCTTCGCTTCCTCTTTAACCTCCTCATTCTCTTCTTTCTCCACTGTAATTAAAAAAATTTAAAACAAATTACATTAAAAATATGCAACATTTTTCAAAAAGAACAATAGATGTAAGAATTGAAAGTTCACATTCAAAAAATTAGTCACTTTTCACTAAATCACCAAAATAAGATTACAATACCAAAGACAATCTATAAGTTTGTGAGAAAGAACATTTTCCAACTTGTAATCAATTTTTACATAAGAATGATATGCAGTAGTAATTTCTGTAACAATTTGATACAAATGTGGTAACATAATACAGTGGAACCTCGGTATACGTCTGCTTTAGAATACGTCCAATTCAGAATACGTCCTGTTTGGACGAAACAAATTTTGCTCGGTATACGACTTAATTCAATTATACGCGCCATCTATGAACAAGTAGCACTACCGGTGTACTACACTAGACTAGACGTTCGCGGTGCTACGGTTTATAACTTTCTTAAATTTCTTCTGATTTTAATTTGTAAGTGTAACATTTTATTATTTTTAAAGAAATGACTAGAATCACAACGGAACTGAAAAAAGAGATTGTTGAGAAATATGAAGGTAGCATGCTTGTTCAAGATTTAACTGTTACATTCCGTATTCCGAGAACGACGATATCGACAATCGTGAAAAATACATTATTAAATTTGCTAACGTTGCGAAAGGGGTTAAATCAATTTCTAAACAGAGATAGAAGACATTAGATTATGTCGAGAAATTGCTTTTGCTTTGGATAACTGAAAAACAGTGTGCCTGCAACAGCGTATCGGAAGAAATTATTTGCGAGAAAGTTAAAAGGATACATGCTGATCTAACGAAAAACCAAGCAGAAACTAGCGAGGAAAGCGAGGTGTTTAAAGCCAGCCATTTTTTTACATGAGAACGGATTAATCATTTTTACATTACTTCTTATGGAAAAGGTTGGTTTGGTATACGTCCTATTCAGTATAAGTCCAAACACCAGGAACGGATTAAGGTCGTATACCGAGGTTCCACTGTATGTCTTGTGATTACAATAAGTGGATCAAAACTAACAGCAATTCAAAAACTGTTTAAAAAAACTGGATATCACTTCTATTAAAAAGTATTAATATAAACTGAATACAGTAGAGTCCCGAAAACTCGGCTACACCCTGACAGGGCAAAAATTCCCCTAGTTAATATTCATTGTAGACAGCTTTATGCCTCAAAGTATTTTTTTGAGGTCTGTCTTATCAGGTAAATTACTGTACACTGTGTATTCATTAATTTTCATTTTCATGTAGTAAAGGTTCTATGCCTTCATAAAATACATACTTTTCCTTTAAGGGTATTTGGGAATTTATTCTCTGTTGTATTCTCAATCAAACAATACATACAAGTACTGTACAGTACAGTATTTTCTGAGGAAACACTGGTACTTATTCTTTTTTAACCCCATTCCCGATAACCCGGCATTTTCACAAACTCAGCCACCCTTCAGTCGACATTATGCAGAGTTTTCTACTGTATTATATATCTTCATATTATGAAGAATCCATCATTAAGTGACATTATCATCATTGAACCAGTTCAAACCAGAGTAAAATATCAACACAAAAGCTACCTATGAATGATCTGCTGTAACTTTTCATCATAATATCCAAACTGGTTTCAACAAATATTGGTTTATATTTGATGAAACAGCAGACATCATGACCATATCTCCAAATCGTAAAGTCACCAGAAACTAACAATATTTTACCTTTGTATTCACAAAACACACAGCATTTACGACAAAAAAAATTGTAATGAGACTATCTGGCATTGCCACTAAAAGTTTCAGTTTTAAGAGCCACTAGGCAGGCATTTCTTAATGACATTTTCAGAATTTTCTCACTTCATGTGCTTGTAATTTTTGAGGAAAACAGTTTACTTCATTAAAATTAAAGGAAATTACTTTTAAAAAAATTATACATATAACAGATACACCAAAAACCATAACTAATCTAGGCTGGAATGAAATGTTTCTAAAATAGATACGAATAGTTATATTAGAAATATTGAAATTTAAAAAAATTTTGCAAATGAATTTTTTTTGTATAACATTCTACAGTTAATTCCACCATGTAGAATTCTATCAATTTTTTTGGCATTAGACAGGGATGCACAACCTTTTCTGAAGAAGGGCCAAATTAGGATTAAGTTTACTGACTGGGGGCCGGACCTCCAAGTGATTAATGCGATGGCTGAGATTGGATGCTGGCGGCAATCTTCTTGATGTCTGGCGTAATGGCAGATATTGAAACAACCAACAGATTTTCCAAATTCTCATTGGTTAACCTGTTCTGTGTTTTTCACTTGTTTAAATTCATAAGCGAAAATGCTTGTTCGCATATATAGGTACTGCCAAACATGCTTGCACAAAATCGAGCATTGTCTTTCAGTTTTGGGAATGATGTATCTGTAGAATATGAGGAGATTAGAATTTTTAAACTGTGACTTCAATTCATCACTGCACTGGATGTCTATCAACTCAAGTTGGACATCTGGAGGGGCATCTTCCACTTTCACATCAAATGGAGTTGAAAAAAGTTGCAGGTAGATCTTGTATTTCTGGAATTCACCAAACCTCTCATTGAATGATGTAAGGAGGGTGTTAACTTGGTCAGAGTAATCCATCTTCATATGTGGGTATTTCTCTTTCATGGCCTTGCAATGTGGAAAGTGTGTAAAGTTCTCTGATTGCATGTGGGACTTGAAAAGTGATAGTTTGGTCATAAATGCATTGATGTTACTTGTCAACTGAGAAACAAGTTGCATCTTTCCCTGCAATCTCAAATTAAGGTCGTTTAGATAAGCAGTAATGTCAGCAAGGAAAGCTAAATCACACTGCCATCTTTGTCCCTCCAAATTCCTTGTAGTGTTCCCCCGTTCTTTGAGGAAAGTGATAATAGGCCCCAATAGCTCCACAAATCTCGAGGACTGTTGCCTTGCTCAGCCAACGAACTTCAGTATACGTGGGCAGGTCAGCATAATCAGCATCTATTTCTTCAAGAAATGATGTGAAGAGTTGATGGCGACAGATTAAGTTCACAGTATCATAGACATCTTTCAGCAGACATTCAAATCCCAGCTTCTTTGCACAAAGTTGCTGTTGGTTAATTATGCAATGATATTGGACTAACTCCTTTTGCCTGTCCCCAAGGTGGTTTTTCAGCAATGTGACCATGCCATTCTCACATCCAACCAAAGATGGTGCTCCATCAGTGGCAATGCTGGATAGCTTGTCAAAGTCCAGTGCTGATTTGTTGCAAACGCTCAATAAACCAGTAAGTAAGTCAGCACCAGTTGTATGTCCGGAAACTGATGCCATGCCAAGAAATTCTTCATTCACAATAAAATCTAGTGAAACACTTCTAATAAACACAATCACTTGTGCTGTTGTTGATATGTCAGTGGATTCATCCACAGCCAAAGAAAAATAAGCACAGTTTGCAACTAAAATATTAAGTTGGCCAGAAATGTCTGATGCAATTTGTGAGATTCTCCGTTGTATCGTCATGCGGTTAAGACTGATTGTTTGAAAACACTCTGTCTTCTCAGGACACATCTTCTCACTTGCGATGATAAGACACTTTTTTATCATATCGCCATCTGTGAAAGGTTTCCCATTCATAAAGAAAATATTTCTAGGCTAGCTTCAACAGCTGCATCCAATTCTCCAGATTGTTTCTTGAACACATTTTGTTGGCTGATTAGTGATCGTCGTAACGATTCGATTTTCCGTTTGCGTTCCGTACCTTGCAGAAGGAAATCCTTGTGTTGGCTTTCATGATGTCGCTTCAGGTTGAATTCTTTTGGCACTGCTATTGTTCCATTGCACAAAAGGCAAATAATGCTGTTGTTCTGTTGCACAAAACAGTACTTGTTAGTCCACACTTCCACTTCTTGAAACTGATGATTCTCGCGATTGACCTTGCGTTTAATGCCCGGCGCCATACTGTTCACTCTGCAAAACAATGTCTCGTTGTGCCGAAAATTCTGAGGCCCGCAATGAATCGTGTTTGAGATAAGGCAAACTAGACTACCACATGCTTTGATCTGTATCCACTCTGACTAAAGACTAAAGAGGCGTGGACAGAAGACTATTACGCACACGTGACAAATGGCCAGGCAGGTCTTAATTCGTTCGACCTCTGTCCAGGCGTCACCACCATTTCTCAGAATTTGTGAGTCAAATCGTCAACATGCCAGGTGCAGGACACTAATCCATCATAAATGTGGTTACCATTCTTACCTAAATTATATTTATGGCCCGTCAGTTTTACCCCCGTGTTCAGAAATGAATCAAAAGTGATTAACGCGGTGCAGCGGAAAATCTGAATATTTTAAATACAATTATTAAAATTGCGATATCTCATTTCAAATTGGCGCTAGAATCAATCTGTTTTTTGTTTTCTGTCACAAATATATCACAGTTTACAACTGTTAAATTTCAAATAAAATAAAAATTAAAAATAATAATTTAATTTTAAATTTACGAAAAAAAGAACGTAAAAATAAAAGTAAATAAAAAGTTCCAATTAATTTACAACTTAAATAACCTAAATATATCTGTTTTCTTTCAAACAAAAGAAACCTACACGGAATCATTTTACAACACTCTTTTTTGACAAGTTTATGGCTTGACACCGTTTGTAATAATTATTAAATCCAAAATATTTTAGTGGTAATGACTCTATTCCAACCACAGTGTTAATTTTCTTGGTCCAACTTAATAAATTTGATGTGAAAAAATTTTTTTCTATTCTTTGTCTATAAAAAGATATTGTTGTAAATTATTGGTTGTTATAGCTTTTTGTACACTCCTTTTTGAACTCTGGTTAGTTTTTTTCTAGTTTGAATGACATTAGGTTGACGAATAAGCGTCTTTTCAGAAAAGATTGATTCAAATTCGACTATACCAATCAGAATCTAGAATGTAAACAAATGCTAAAAAATAGTAATTTTCATGGTTTTTCAGCGCTATTTTCACTTATTTTGTTATTTGACGTTATTTAAACGAATAATCAAGTTTCCGAAGCATAAAATTGAAGATTTTCCGCCAAAATAGAAACTTCTTGATAACATCGGAAATGACGTTCTAACATCATTTTATTCTATTTGATTCTTTAAAAAATCGTTATAATACTATGTATTAGACTTAAAATATTCGATATCTAAACCAGAAAGTGTTAGCTAGAAATAGACTTATTTATAGAACAACCACCCATTTCTCACCTCGGGGAAAGTCATAAAACAGTTGGGTGCTAATGACTGTGAAAGGGAAAAGTTCTACACTTAGAAAGTTGGAAAGAAGAGATTTGGCCTGTACCGTCTGCGGGCCGCATAAACATTGATAGGGGGCCATATGTGGCCCGCGGGCCGCAGGTTGTGCACCCCTGCATTAGATAACATATTAGAAGTTTCAATTTGAAATATTTAAGAGACAATAATTAAAATGCCTCAATGTCCTTTTTCTTACTAAAATATAAAGTTTCATCTATAATTTTGTATCTTCTATTAACAGCCAGTATAATAAGTCCTGATAATAGAAGATATGAAATTATAGACAAAAATTTATATTTTATTTAAGAGACAGTTGGGAAAAACAATAGACTCAATTATCTATTGATAGAACCAAATACTCAAACACCACCTTTTTCACTACATCCATTTAAAAGATCTATTAGATATCATAGTGCTTAAGTTACAATGTTGTAGTCTTATGTTTCAATGAAACTCGTTTCCAACTGTACCCTTTGGTTTGATAAAGTTAGATAACGTGGAAAACTCCATGATTGCTGCAGTCTTCAATGCACATACTCTTACATTTTCATGAACAAAGTTTGTAATGCCACAGATGTTCAGGCATTAACAATAATTTGGGTGTATTGTCCATGAGAATTTGAGGATATACTTTCTGCATCCCTGACTCAATAAGCAAATTTATCAAGTATAGAAACATTTTTTATGATAACCAAAGTTTAACGTTTTAAATATTTTAGTTGCAGATATGATATGCTCTAATTTATTGTTTACAAAAAATCTTCAGATGCTTCTTGAAGACTATACAGCCCACAAGGACATGGTTGTGATCTCTCAAATGCCACAAAGACTATTTTATGAATGACATTGTTAAGTTATGAATTAAGCTTTCATACATCAGGACATGTTAACAAGACTAACTGCAGGATTTGAGCAACTTAACATCCACATGCACTTTTGGAGTGGATAAGAGATTCTCCAAAGGTTAACGTTTGGTTGGGCATCACCCTTGTGTATGATCCCTTTTTCTTTGCTGAGAACACAATTAACAGCAATATTTAACTACTTCCATCACACATTTTCAGTGCATCAATTTATATTCCATCAGAAACAAAAGGGAGTACACCATTCCATTTTGCAAAAAGTGTTGACTACCCACTTTTCAAAGGTGAACAGGAAGAGATTCAGATTTTCAGCTCCAATCACCTAACCTTTTTGTGCTAAATAGTTTTTTGTGGAGGTGTACAAAATCAAGATTAACAGCATTACTCAATTTAAGGAGTTAATAATAACTGCAGGGACTAAGATTATACCTGATATCCTGAAAAAGATTTGCCACACTATGACTGAAGATCATGATTTGTGTTGATATGAAAGCAGGCCAGAATTGTATTAACATTTGTTTTTATATATTTTCTTCATTTGTAATAGAAGAGGTATTTAAAATGCTTCTTTACAGAATGAACAGTTTCTGAAGTAACACCTTGCACTTATCTCAAATGTTCATAATAGCTGAAATGAGAATTTTGTACTAAACGCTTGAATTTTTCCAAATAAGCATTTTTATTGCAGTTCTAAGCTTCTTTTAGTTTTAGAAAACATTAAATTCAAATACTTATTGTAAATATGAAACTTTCACAATACAAAATATTAAAACAGGAAAACAGCATTGCCAACATTAACTTACTCAAATTATAAAATAAAAAACTATACTAAAATATTTAAAATTTCATTATTTATACATGATGATGTTTTGTTAAATATAAAATTCTCTTTTAAATTAAGAACAATGTTCGAAGACAAAGCAACAATACGGAAACATTAGCTTTTCTTCAAATAAATTAATGATTATTTAAAACAAAGAAAAACTGGTAAAAATATTAATAATATATAAAAATATCCCGACATTCATTATTAGATGTACTTATTTTCAGTTCTTTTGACGAATACCTACCGACCATGATTCCTAAGAATCATAACCCTAACAAACAAAAACTATATACAAAATAATCGTAATAACGTACCTTTGCTCTCATTATAAGCTTTTCAAATTACTTAAAACTTGTCTACCACTTATTTAAATTAATTTGTATGCCTTAACTATCTAAAATCAAATGGATGATCTTGGATTAAAAATCGCCACGCGGGAACACAACGACGTGCGACACACAAATGGCCGATCTTCTCAAAGGACAAAGACAGCAAAAGACGCAACGCCACCTATGATATCGAGAAATCATTGAAATATTTTTTTATTCTCTAATTTAACTTTAATATTTATAGTTCCAATGTATTAATATCTACGTGTTTTCTGGTAGTATAAATTTATTAATATGAGATTAATCAATACTGTACTTAAAAGTTTTACTTCTGTTTTTACTCTGCTGATGAGCGATTTAGTGATTTTTCGATATTGCGGTAATTGATGATTATTACAGTGGAAGCCCGGTTAACGAACTTAATTCGTTCCGCGACTCCGTTCGTTAACCGAAGCAATTTTTCCCATAGAAATAATGCAAATGCAATTTATCCGTTTTAGCGTCTGAAATTTTTATGATTTTATTTGTAATATACAATAGATTTTCTTTGAATCCCCAGGAATTTTTCGGGGGGTTGTCCGTTCGGATATGTCGGGCCCCATCCCCCACCACCCGGTCGCCCCATTGTGGACTTGGCCGAACCCATAATGGGCCTCTTAAACTATGGCTTCTTTTTACTCTTAGTGCCCACAGGGTACTAAGAGTAAAAAGAAGAAGTAAAAAAAAAACTTTTTTTGGCCTACTGCCCCCTTTTCGTAAATACACACACATTCTTGAAATCAACAATGTAATCTATAGTTTTCCAACTTTTTTGGGTTATAGCCCACTTTTTCAAACAGTGATTCAATGGCGCCTCTCGTAGGTGAAATATACCTTATTATATCAATATATTGAAAAACAAGGACAGATTTTTAAAATTATTTTATTAAAAGATATTAACAATATTGGTGTATTGTTCAAAGTTTGATTAACAAATATATATTATTTAAAAAATTAATATAATAATATTTGTGAGAGAGCTGAGCTTGGTGTAATAACACTAATTTTTCGATATTTGGTGCCATATTTGTCATCTGCAATCTGAAATCGCCGCGTTCCATTATTGACAATCTTTCTTTTCTCTTGTTAGTAAATTGCTGGGCCGTGTTTAGTAACGCAGAATTCTTGCTAAGTCTAGTTATGCTGCGATGTTAAACTCGTTTCTAACTACTGCTTGACTCCTTCCACCGCTAGAATTCTAGCTAGTTCAATCAGCTTCTTTTATCTATCGCGACATTCCAATTTTCAACGCGAGTTTGAGTGTTGAAGTCAACAATTTGACGTCATCAACGACGTTCCAACTCGAGTACGAAGTGCTTAGTTCCCATAATTCCATTCTCAGCAAGATGGATTCCATTCAAATGTCTTACCAATTACCCACAATTCATTGGGAAGTAGCAGTCAACATATCTGTTGAGTGCTGAGTGTGTTGAGTCAGCGCTGACAACAGCGCTACCTCAACGTTGAAAAAAGGAACGAATTTTAACGAATGTTGAGATCAACGCTGAGTCAGCGTTGAAAATTGGAATGTTCCGTGACTCAGCGCTGATCTCAACATTCGTTAAAATTCGTTCCTTTTTTCAACGTTGAGGTAGCGCTGTTGTCAGCGCTGACTCAACACACTCAGCACTCAACAGATATGTTGACTGCTACTTTCCAATGAATTGTGGGTAATTGGTAAGACATTTGAATGGAATCCATCTTGCTGAGAATGGAATTATGGGAACTAAGCACTTCGTACTCGAGTTGGTGACGTCAAATTGGTGACTTTAACACTCAACACTCGCATTGAAAATTGGAATGTCCCGTATGCTAACTTCTACTAGTGACGTCATTGTTTTTGTCTTGCCGTACGATTTGCAAGATGGCTGCTCGTGTTGGACTAAACGTATTTTATTATAACAATCACAAAGTTATTCTCTCATTCTAAATCATTAACTCATTCTAAAATGACTTCGAAATGTAAAATTATCATACGTCGGTATAACAGATTCCGAATACATTTTAACGGAAGATAGCCGTCCATTTCGTTGATTACAATTAATAATTGCTTTATTAATTTCATCACGATCTGACGCAGCTTACATTTGAATAATTTATTGGTTACTTCATCCTTTTCGACCAGTTCGTTTGCGACCATAATTTTAAGTTCGTCCACCATTTTGCCTAGTTGTCTAAGAATAATCGTTCAATGATGCTCAGAACATTGTTAGCTCCGCCCACTAAGCCACTCAGAATTCTAACTTAGGTGTTCTGCGTTACTGAACACGGTCCTGGTCTTTCGACTAACAGTTCAAACTTAGCTAGAGCCAGTATTTGCCGCTAGTTGCCGCCTCGGTTGGAAGAAGAGCTTTTTCTTGCTTTGGGTATACTGGTGTGTCTGTGATTTCGACCTATAACAGTTGTTTTTTTTTTAGCTACGTAAAAATGTTAGCGTGCTTTGTGCCAGGATGCAAGGCAGGATATAGTCAAACGAAAAGAGACATTTCTTCCCTGTATCTAGCGTTAAGATTGAAGCGTGGATGCGATGCATTCCACGAGACGACAAGATGCTAATAAATAAATGTTACGTTTGTGACAAGAGCCGTAACTAGGCAGGTGCAACAAGTGCACCCGCACAGGGCCCACTTGGAAGGGGGCCTAAACTGCTGTTCACAAGAAATTATATTTTTAAATTTAAACTTTTTCCGCCTTTCTACAGCGCGGTTTGGCGATTACATTTCGCCTTACTTTGACCCTAGATGTCTGCTCACCAGTGTTCCCAACTGTGGTGACTTTCAGAAGGATGTAGTGAGGTAGCGGAGACCTCAGACAAATCAGCCAAAAGTAGAGACTTTTGAGATTTTTTAATTTATTTTTTGAGAAATTTAAATTTATGTTTATACTTTTCAAATTTACAGATTTTTCTCTACTTTATAGAGCTCTCGGGCAACTACTAATATTACCTGTATTACGATATACAAAACTGTATTTCTAGATTTTTCTACAGTGTGCAGACCTAGAAATCTGTAAAGGTAACATTTTGTAACAAAAATAAATCTGCCCGAGGATTTTTTTAAATTACTAAATTGAAAACGGTAACTCCCGAATAAAATCTTAGTCTCGAGGTTGTGAAAGGCGTGCATAAATTCTGACATCATTTTTTGTTTTATAGTGGTACGCATATGTGGTGTATACCTGAACAGCGGATTAAGCGGTAAGCGAACTATGCGGGCGCATAGGGCCCCGAAGGGGCTCCCGCAGTCTTTAAAATGCTACTGAAAAAAGGGATGCGAAAACGCAGAAGATAGAAATAGTCCAGAAAAACGCTTCGATATAATAGATACATGGAAGTAATAAATGATATAGCTTTATGGCCAACAATATTAACAGATGCTATTATTGATCATATTCTTAAAGCAAACCAAAAAGTATAGAAAAGGGATTTCTTAATAAACGAAAAACAGAGTTAAGATAATGGAAATAAATAAAACACCAGATGAAGAAAGTAACTTGACACCCGAAAAATTATTTGTATATAAAGGTGACAGCTGGATGTTTGAGCGGTTAAGTCTATCGCTGTGACATCGATTCGAACTGTTGAAGAACCCAAGGCGGTCTATCAAGACCCGTTCCATACAGTTCGGCTGCCCACATCGTGGATCTTGAGAAACCAAAAATGTGTATAAAGATTAAGATCTTTAATGATCTTAAGTAAGAGTTAGCAATACTACGAGCGAGATTTGTGCGCAGATAATTTCTTACCACACTAAATTTAACAGAAAAATTCATCACAAAACGATTATTGATGCTAATGTCTGAAATTCTATTTAATCCATGCAAGATGTGTGATTACCAGAGCCCCTTCGGCCGCCAATTTAAAGTGTTTTAATCTTTAAAATTGGCGTTTCCACTTCCCGGGACGAGGACCCAGGGGTTGGATTTGTGGGAAGCGTGTGTTCGGGTTGTTTCATTGTGTGGAATTACACAGAACGTGGCGCTTGACGTGTAAGTGCGTGAGTGCGAGAATTCGAGTAAAGGTTAAACGGTGTATATCTTCGTGTACAGTGATGTTATATCCGTGTGTGTGTGTGTGTGTGTGCGTGCGATCCAAGAACATCTTCGGCATGTCTAAAAACAGAAAAACAGTAAATTACGATACGAGAATGAGACGTGTTAAAAAATGAAACGAAAGCGTTCTTACCATCGGAGATTTCGGAAAACATTCACTTGTACGATAAATGGCCACTTCGTCCTCTTCGTGGTAAAGTTGGGGAGGGAGATCCTTCTCCCTCCCAAATGTTCCTACAAAACACAAAGACAGTGAGAAAAGGAGAAGTTGATTCATTTATTATCTAAGGTCAACATTATTACCTTTATCAGATAGTCTTTCTTCCCGAACAGTGTCATGAGGAGAGCGAAGGACCTGACCTAGCCTAGCCTAACCTAACCTAACCTAACCTAACCAGAAGCTCAATCCTCGTAACAGCTGTTTGGGAAGAAAGGTCGGCCGAATGTCGCGTCCGGTGAAGAAACGTGTCAAGTCCGGGTGGTCACAATCGGAAGTCAAATCCGTTGTCGTCGATCGAGTGTCACGTTCGGGAGACAAGTCCGTGAGAACATCCGGGTAAGAGAAGGTCACGTCCGAGTAAAGAGGTCATGTCCGGGTGAAAAGTGTCGAATCCGGTCAAAGTGTCGCATCCGGGTGAAAAGGACGAGTTGGGGAAAATCGAAGAGGATCACCGCCTAGGCCGAGGGAACCGTAGCCACCCGCAGCAACAAACCCGCGGTTCCTCGACTTCGGCGGCGCTCTCCTCCGATGCTTCCCCGTTCCGACTTCGGAAAGACGATGGCGACGACCTCGCGAGCGCGTACATAGAGGCAGACCACGCGAAAGTAGAAAGTGACGCCGAACTCAAAGAGAACTCGCCACTCTCTACGTCTTCCACAACAAGGCTTGTGGCCGGCTGCTCCCTGACGACATTGACCAAGTGGAATGGACTCAGAACTCTCCCGCCTCCGGGAGAGTCCCACGCCACACGCACTGGGGGAAGGTCGTCACCACCCACTGCCTCTTGTTCGACGGTCTCCAACGACACCGAACTAATCGATTCGACAGAGACACAGTCGAACCCACGGTCCTCGAACG